ACAAAAAAACTGTCACCTTAAGCTACATAAAAAAACAATGTATTTAATAAAGTTTTCTGATAAGAAACAAAAAAGTCGAGGCTTACCAGGCTCCGCATGCTTTGGAAAAAGATCACATTCTGACGATGACAGTCTGAAGTCTCGAATTCCACATGTAGTTCTGTTTACATTAGACGAAATGTTGAATGATATCTGAAAATTGCATTTATATCAAATAATCAGTCTGTTGAAATTTTCCCCTTCAAGTTGAATGGACCAATTATATGCGAATCAAATTAGGTGATCGATTGCAGAGACTAATTATTGATTTTAATCAAAAAAACTAAAAAAAAACTATTGTCAACGTCACTGATTTTAGTAAAAATGCAAAATGCGAAATGAGATCTGTGGGATTTGCCCAATGAGACAACGTGAGGATGGTGATTGTGCATTCATTTCATGGATGGAATTTGGAAAGTGATGAATGGCAATATTCATTTGCTAACATGTTATTTCGCATGTGAAAACCACACATGGATTAATTCATGGATTAAGTCATGGTTTACATCACAAACCTTGAATTTTGCTTTGATTCGAACAATAGGAATACTTCCGTTTTTCCAAACCTTTCCTTGATATCCTTGAGCTGACCATTTATGCTGATACCCGCTTTCAATATGAACGTACACGTCAAGCCGCGATAAGCCTTGTGATGGAAGGCGATATGCAAACCTTATACAAAGACTAATATTTCTGAAAGCGTCTTTCCATGGAAGAGGTGGTGACTCATACCTAGCACCATAGCAGAAGCATGATTTTGGACAATCTTTCATAACTGAAAATAAACCGCAAAAATACTCAATAACAAAGCCCGGCGGTAAATTTTCTGATGACTCGTTTTGAAGCTAAAGACTATTTGCATCAATTACATCAGTATGGCATCACCTTTGGGTAAACTCTTAGTAAGATTTCCGATGTTGGGTTGTACCGTCCACTCAGCAACACAACCATGGTGACGAGATTCCATAAGTGTGCAGCTGTAAAGTGTAGATTCTGTTGAAGGAAAATACACGTC